TTTGATTTATGAAAGACTTCCAAAAATGTTATGAAAGTCTTCTCTAAACTCTACGTGTACATGTTCTCTACACATATACATGTCCGTTCAGTAACCTTTAGAATATGATGTTTGAATTATCATCCAGCCATTGACTCAATCCATCTGTTAGAGCTCTTAACGGGAATTGCTGTGTCAGTGGAGCGGTTAAATAACGTAAACGTGATGTTCTGTGAGATCTTTGGCAGATTTTAGGAGCAGAACCCCTGCATTACCAGCGGGCAGGCCAGTTTCAGAGTTTGGTTTATGAATCGGTCTAACATGGCTTATGGTATCTCCGCATTTATTAAACCATAAGGCTTTCAAGAAAGACTGGGATGGTGTTTATCTGCTTCATATGGATGTCATAATCAGTGACTGGGGAATCTGGGGGTTGTATCCATCCATATAGACTAACCTTTTACACACTTGCAATGAAGTAATGAATAACTCGTAAATGACCGAATATTGCACTCGCTTATAACCATGGGGGTTAATATGTGTTCTCGTACTGTATATCTAGTTAATGCAGTTCTGTTTTTAAAACATGTTGTTTTTCCCTCATTCAACACTTTCTTTGAATTCTATATGAATAATGCATTATAAGGGTATTCATTAATTATGTTGCAATGCATTATAGTATATTTTCATTAATAATTGTAGCCAAAGTTAAAATGCATTAAAATATTTTTTAAAGGGGTCATATGATGCGATTTCAATTTTTCCTTTCTCTTTGGAGTGTTACAAGCTCTTGGTGCATAAAGAAGATCTGTAAAGTTGCAAAGACTAAAGTCTCAAATCCAAAGAGATATTCTTTATAAAAGTTAAGAGTCAGCCACACCTACCTAAAACGGCTCGTTCTAACACACCCCCACATACCTACGTCACGATCTCGGAAGATTTGCATAACGCCGCCCAAACGTTCACGCAAAGAAAGAAGCCGTAACTTTTATTCTCGCTGTAGTATTGTTGTTGCCGCCGCCACGT